GTCCCGGCAGCCCCCTGGCCCTCGCTGTCGCCTCTCCCTCTGCTGCTGAGAAATGAAGGCCGCTGACGCTCGAGGTAAGCCCTTTGAGAGGGAAAACTTACCGTCCCGGCAGTACATCGTTTCTACCGCGCCTCTGTCATGTTAATGTTGTGTGTAAAGGGCAGCAATGGAAGGGGAATTTTTATTTCCATTAGTTATTTCCACTGTCACAGTCAAAACAATATTTTGTTTGAACACCAGGATACATGTATCACACAACCCACTGTAAGATGGGGTATCTAAATGTCATTGGAAAGGTCCTTCCACTCACCCCACCATAACCCCACATCCCAGAATCATGTCTCTTTATCTCTGTAACATCTTGGACATAATAACCAGTCACCATTTCAAAGCACTATATTACACCAATTTTCACATGAGCTACTGTCAGACACGGCCTACTTTAGGCACTGTCTTCAGATTGTCTTGTGTCAGGTCAGTGGTGAGATGTAGTTATTGCCACCTACTTTCGTACAGATAATCGGGGGCGCAGTGTAATTCCACGTCATACAGTAACAGTAGCATGTTTAGTTCCTGTTCCCTGGATTTGTTGGGAACATAGGTTGTTACATGTGTAAGTAAAGTTCAGCAAAGTACACTTTTCACCCGGTGAACAATTAAAATTAATTTGCATACAGTTATTATTATGACTACTCCATCCTCTAGATCGTATCCTATGGTGAGATTATGCAGGTGATGGCAGATCTCATGTCAAACAAGGCAGGAGGAAGGAAACACAGGTACTGCAGCAGTCACCACATCATCAGTTCGCTGCAACAAAAGGAAATTTTGTTGTTAGTTTAATATCTGATGCACCGTACCACATTCGTGTTTACCCCCATTACAGACAGACACCCACTCATGGTCATTTCATAACTGCAGAAAGCCAACCAAAGCTAAGAGGGAACTTAATCCCATAACGTTGTAACAGGTGCAAAAAAATATGCAACAGAGGTTATAATCTGCAGGGAAAAACAAGGGGCTGGAGTAACAACGCCAAACCTCCTCAGCCCTCCCTGGGGGGTCAAAGGCTGGAGCTTGAGCAGCAAGGTCCGAGAAAGGATGACTTCCGGAAAGGAGACACACCGAGTGCCTGATTGGTAAGGAACCAAGGCGAGACCGCCTGAAGCAAAGAACAGATGACTGTGACTGGAGCAGTAAAGGTCGAACTGGAAAATTATTTTCGACAAGGAGCCGTAGGATGAGCTTCCTATTGTTAGGGAGATTGACCAGAAGAAGGAATCAACTTAAAATAACTGCATAGAAGCCGGTGTCCTGTCAGCAAGTCACCCTTTATTTACTTGTGCACAGTACACTGGCACTGGCCAGCCAGCTTGCAGTCAGTCCTCTGAACTGAAGAGATTCTCATCTCCTGGTTAGACTCTTCAAAATTCACATAAGTTAGTGTCACAGACACAGCACGTAACATCAGTCACAATACATCGAAGTCAAGTCAACAGAGAACATCCTACAGAAAAACATCCCAGTTCAAAAAGTTGATTCAAGTCCATAAAAGATAACAGCGTCCCAAACACGACACATGGCAAGGTCAACATACATCAGGTAATTTGCCAAAGAGCAGAGACATTGACATGAAATATCATATAGAAACAGTTCAGTTCAAACGGCAGTACAAAATCATACAGGCAAACATACAGTCTCCGAAGCAATCGGTTTGCCTACAGATGGTGGGGACACACAAAGTCACAATACATACACAAAAGCATAGTCCAGACATGAAGACGTAGTACGAGCACAAAGGTATGGCCCAACAAACGCTGAGGCACGGTCGACTCACAAAGGTCCGGTCCACACCCCAAAGTTCAATCTAGGACCCATACGCTGAAACAGTGGCACAAAAGCTGGGTCCTATTACCAAATTATCCTTTCATTTTACCAGTATAGCAGTACCACCGGCTGTGGCCAGCCAGCTCGGAATCAATCCTCTGAACTGAGGAGATTCTCATCTCCTGGCTGTATTAGTCAGCCCGGGGTTTCCTGATTGGCCCAGGTTAACAATACCAATCAATAAGCTCGTAGTCAGCGAGGTCAACCTGGTTCCTATCACTACACAACCCAACACAGTAACTCTTTCAAAGGCTTCAGCTCTTTCCTCACCAAACCGTCATAGAGCTGCTCAGCTGGGGGTTTTAGCACATCAGGAGATCTGAACCGCTAGCCTGAGATTCACATTCTCTGCTCACCCCACCTTTCTCTCTTTCTATCTTTAGCCTAATATCTAACCTCCACTACCAACCTTTTGTCTTGTCTGACAGGTTGAAGTAACACCTTGGGGGAAAAAAGGAGGGAATTTCAGCTAATAATCCAGGTAACTCTCCTTCTCCCTAATGTGTCGGAATATCCCAAAGTCAGATTCCAGCTCACCAACTCTGAGCCACAGTTCCTCAAACAACCACCACTGTGGTCACTACCAACCACGGTGGGGTCTACCAGCTCCCACATCATACAGGTACAACACATCACCTGGTCCTGCATCTCCAGCTTATTTACTTCATTCTTAATTTGATTTTTTGAAAATTACCGACTAATCTCTCAGTTTGGAACCTGTAAATATTTACCCTATTTTACCTCAATCTGAAAGTAACCTATGACAGACAGTCAAATCAGTAGCTGTAACCAACCAATGAAGTTATTGTCTTACTAAGATGTCACTCTTTGTATTGTGCTGGGCCCCAATCCTCAGCTTCAATTTATCATTCTAAAAAGACCTTACAAACAACAAGACAGAAAAGGAAGCAAACAGCATCTCTGCACCGAATTCCAACACTGCCTACAAATTCCCTCAACCATATACTCACTCAGGCTGTCTTTCACTCTGGAAGTGATCTCCCCTTCCTGACAGTGCACAGTTTACGGTGAGTTCTCTGGTGTGAACGTAAGTGAGATAACTGAGTGAAACTCCTCTTGCACTCGAGGCAGGAGAACGGTTTCTCTCCAGTGTGAGATCGCTGGTGTACACATAATTTGGATGACTGAGCGAACTTCTTTCCACAGTCAGAACAGTTGAACATTTTTTCTCCAGCGTGAGTTCTCTGGTGTGAACGTAAGTTCGCTAACTGAGTGAATTTCTTCCCGCATTCAGGGCAGGTGAACGGTTTTTCTCCAGTGTGAGTTCTCTGGTGTTGATACACGTTGGATAACCGGGTGAATTTCTTCCCACACTCAGGACAGGGAAACGGTTTCTCCCCAGTGTGAGTTCTCTGGTGTTGATGCAATTGGGATAACTGACCGAATCCCTTCCCGCAGTCAGAGCAGGTGAACGGTTTCTCTCCGGTGTGAGTTCTCTGGTGCCTCAGTAAAGTGGAAGAGTAAGTGAATCCCTTCCCACAGTCGGAGCAGGTGAACCGTATTTCTCTACTGTGAGTGCCCCGGTGTTGCTGTAAGGTGGATAATCGAATGAAACTCTTCCCACACTCAGGACAGGGGAACGGTCTTTCGCCAGTGTGAGTTCTATGGTGCGATTCTAAGTTGGCTAACTGAGTGAATCTCTTCCCGCATTCAGGGCAGGTGAATGGTTTTTCTCCGGTGTGAGTTCTCTGGTGTTGATGTAAGTTGGATAAGTGAGCAAATCCCTTCCCGCATTCAGGACAGGTGAATGGTTTTTCTCCGGTGTGTATTCTCTGGTGTTGATGTAAGTTGGATAACTGAGCGAATCCCTTTCCACATTCAGGGCAGGCGAATGGTTTTTCTCCCGTGTGAATTCGTTGGTGCACACGTAAGGTGGATGACTGAGTGAATCTCTTCCCGCAGTCACAGCAGGTAAATGTTTTTTCTCCTGTGTGAGTTCCCTGATGTTGATGTAAGTTGGATAACCGAGTGAATCTCTTCCCGCACTCAGGACAGGGGAACAGATTTTCTCCAGCGTGGGTTCTCTGGTGTTGACGCAAGTTGGAGAACTGAGTGAAAGACTTCCCACACTCAGGACAAGTGAATGGTCTTTCTCCAGTTTGAGTTCTCTGGTGTTGTTGCAAGTTGGATAACTGAGCGAATCCCTTCCCGCATTCAGGACAGGGCAATGGTTCTTCTCCAGCGTTAGTTCTCCGATGTTGATGTAAGTTGGAAAACTGAGCCAATCCCTTCCCACATTGAGGACAGGGCAGTGGTTTTTCTCCAGTGTGAGTTCGCCGGTGTTGATGTAAGTTGAATAACCGAGTGAATCTCTTCCCGCACTCAGGACAGGGAAACGGTTTCTCTCCAGTGTGAGTTCTCTGGTGCCTAAGTAAAGTGGAGGAGTAAGTGAATCCCTTCCCACAGTCAGGGCAGGTGAACCGTATTTCTCTATTATGAGTGCCCTGGTGTTGCTGTAAGGTGGATAACCGAATGAATCTCTTCCCACACTCAGGACAGGGGAACGGTCTTTCACCAGTGTGCGTTCTATGGTGCGATTCTAAGTTCGCTAACTGAGTGAATTTCTTCCCGCATTCAGGGCAGGTGAATGGTTTTTCTCCAGTGTGAGTTCTCTGGTGTTGATGTAAATTAGATAACTGAGCGAATCCCTTCCTGCATTCAGGACAGGTGAATGGCTTTTCTCCAGTGTGTATTCTCTGGTGTTGATGTAAGTTGGATAATTGAGCGAATCCCTTTCCACATTCAGGGCAGGCAAATGGTTTTTCTCCAGTGTGAATTCGTTGGTGCACACGTAAAGTGGATGACTGAGTGAATCTCTTCCCGCAGTCAGAGCAGGTAAACGTTTTTTCTCCAGTGAGAGTTCTCTGGTGCTTATATAATTTGGAAGTCTGAACACGTCCCTTCCCTTGCTCAGAGCAGGTGAATGGTTTCTCTCCACTGTGAGTTCCCTGATGTTGATGTAAGTTGGATAACCGAATGAATCTCTTCCCATACTCAGGACAGAGGTATGGTTTTCCTCCAGTGTGAGTTCTCTGGTGTGAATCTAAGTGGGATAACTGAGTGAAACTCTTCCCACACTCAGAACACGTGAATGGTTTTTCTCCTGTGTGAATTCGCTGGTGCACATGTAGGGCGGATGACTGAGTGAATCCCTTCCCGCAGTCACAGCAGGTGAAAGGTTTTTCCCCAGTGTGAGTTCTGTGGTGTTCATGTAATTTGGATGACTGAGCAAATGCCTTCCCGCACTCAGAGCAGGTGAATGGTTTCTCCCCAGTGTGAACCTTCTGGTGTTCATGTAAATCAGATGAATTAGCAAACCACTTACCACATGTGGTGCAGATGAATGATTTCTCCCCGGCATGACGTCTCTGGTGTATCTGTAAGCTGGATAAACGAGCAAATCCCTTCTCACACTTGGAGCAGGTAAATGGTTTCTCCCCTGTGTGCTTGCGCCAATGAACATCCAGCCTGGATGGAAATCTGAATCCCTTACCGCACTCCACACATTTACACGGTTTCTCCATAGTGCCAGTATCTTTGTGTTACTCCAGTTTGAAGGATCAGTTCAATCCTTACCCACACAGACAACCCGTGTACAGGCTCTCCTCTAAATGGTGCAAGTCATTCTTCTGTCTGTGCAATTGGTTAAAGCGCTTTCCACAGTCAGTTCACCAGAACACTCTTATTCAGATGTTTCTGTGTCTCGGTGATTTTCCAGTCACACTGATGTTTGCAATCTTTCCCCCTAAGACAAAGCAAACATTTCTCCTTGCACAATCAGAGGGCAGTGATGTTCAGCTCCTGATGCATGCAGATCTCGACCTTATCTTTCGTTTGGGTTTCCTGATCTAAACCTTGCTCTTCTAATCCCTGTGGCAGGAGATGACAAACTCGTTCACTGTCAGTAAAGCAGAGAAATCATAATCACGCAATTACAGTTTCGGTGAAATATTTTCCTCTCTTGCTCCCTGCAAATTGTAAATCCCCGTCCCACACACTCTCTCTGTCTCCCACCCTCTTTCCTGGGTGAAACCCCTATGAAAAGTTGGATAATTATCTCCAACTCATTCTAACTAATGGTTACAACTGGAGACAAGACCCTGAAGCTGCTTTGAGGCAGCTACTAAAATAGCGTTTGCGCATGTGCACAGGCGCTCCAGATACAAACGCGTGCTGCGCAGCCATGTGGACGAATGATTGACGGATGTTCGGACCAATGTGGAGTAAGGGGGCGGTGCCTGGAGGACCATTTGACAGAGGTCGTAGGAACTGCAGATGCTGGAGAATCTGAGATAACAAGGTGCAGAGCTGGATGAACACAGCAGGCCACGCAGTATCAGAGGATGCTTGGCCTGCTGTGTTCATCCAGCTCTACACCTTGTTATCGCAGAGTCAATAAAGGGGCGGGACGGGACTGCAGGGCGAAGCATGCGCAACGCCGGCACTGGAACTGGAAGGACCGAGGGTGGGATTTAAAGGTGCAAGGGGCTGAACCTTGAGACAGGGCCATTCCTCCATCAAGACCCCAATTCGAAACTGCAACCCTTGCATCTGGAAACTGCTTTGACTGTACGATAGAAAGGGAGCCTTTATGCACAGCAACTTTCATCCTAGAAAAAAAAATGGCTCTTTGAATTTCTATCCAGGACTAAGAGTAAGGGTGTCGGAATAAACAGAAGAAATAAGAGCAGGCGTAAGCCATTCATCCCCTCAAGGCCATCCACGTATTTCAATAGATTCAACAGATAGTGGCTCATCTGCCTCAGGCCTCAACTCCACTTTTATGCCAGTTCTGAGTGGAAAATTTCCTTCCCTTCTCAGTTTCAAATGAGAATCCCATTGTTCTGTAACAGTGTGCCCCAGCTCGAGATATTCCCTCTCAACATCTATCTCGTCAAACCCCACCTTACTGTCTTGTTTGTTTCAATAAGGTCATCCCATGGTTCTAAGCACTGATTCATAAAGGCCTAAAACACAAAATGCTGGAGAAAGTCAACAAGTTTGGCAACAGATCACCTTATTAGGATTGTACCCTACATCCCCCAATACTCAGCAGGAATTGAGACGCAAATTTGCAAGGAGATCTGTTATCTGTAATAATAGTAGACGTTGACTGGGGGCAGATATTCACAGGTAAAAGGACGGCTGGGAAATGGGAAGCCTTCAAAATGAGATAATGGGAGTCCAGAGACAGTACGTTCCTGTTAGGGTGAAAGGCAGGTCTGGTAGGTATAGGGAATGCTGGATGACTAGGGAAGTTGAGGATCTGGTCAATAAAAAGGAAGCATATGTCATGCATAAGCAGCAGGGACTGAGTGAATCTCTAGAGGAGTGTAAAGGTAGTAGGAGTACACTTAAGAGTGAAATCAGGAGGGCAAAAAGGGGACATGAGATAGCTTTGGCAAATAGGGTTAAGGAGAATCCAAAGGGATTCTATAAATACAGCAAGGACAAAACAGTAACTAGGGGAGAGAATAGGGCCCCTTAAAGATCAGCAAGGCTGCCTTTGTGTGGAACTGCAGGATATGGGGGAGACACTAAGTGAATATTTTGCATCAGTGTTTACTGTGGAGAAGGATATGGAAGATATAGAACATGGGGAAATAAACAGCAACATCTTGAAAGGTATCCATATTACAGAGGAGGTGGTGCTGGACAGCTTAAAACTTAGAAAAGGTGGATAAATGCCCGGGACCTGATCAGGTGTACCCTAGAATTGTGTGGGAAGCTAGTGAAGTAATTGCTGGGCCCCTTGCTGAGATATTTGCATCATCGATAGCCATAGGTGAGGTGCCAGAAGCCTGGAGACTAATGTGGTGCCATTGTTAAAGAAAGGTGGTGAGGAAAAGCCAGGGAACTATAGACCGGTGAGCCTGACATCAGTGATGGGTATGTTGTTGAAGGGAATCCTGAAAAACAGAATTTATATGTAGTTGGATAGACAAGGGAGAGTCAACATTGCTTGGATATGTGCGCTTCGATAAAAGTGCAAATATGTTAGATTACTTAACACGTATCAAGTAATCGAACAATTGGTAGTCACAAAGACAAGAAAAACAAATCCAGTTGTCACTGCAAAATGGTCGGTTCTCAGGCCAAGGCCACTTTCTTGCAAAAAAAAAGCCTGCGTTCACATATTTTTCCACTTTCCATCAACCGCTTATTGCCATGTTCTATTCAACCTTAATGATCTGGCTTTGAGATATCTTTTTTGGATCTATACACTAAACTCCTTTCACGTCTTCGAACCAGATAACCAGAACCATGTGTTGTTCAATGGTTGCAAGCTAATTAAACGTGACAAAGTTTACAAGCCATTATACAGGTGAATTCAAACAAGAAGCAAACAAACAGCAATAATGCAATAACTGGGTGACCATCCCTTAAATATGTCCCACCACAGAGCAAAACATCCTCAATTGTTCACTCTCACAAATTAATTAATCATGGCTGTAGGTCATGGTACACTGTTGCCAGATGAGAGTGAACCTGTTTTAATATGCATGGAAAGCCTGCAGAGTTTCAAATGTCACATAGAGGTACCCTTCGAAATTGGATAGTGGTGCATTCAAACAATATCACTCTAACAAATTACAAATAGCTTCTGCATTAAAATCCTTCTGGGTGTGATGCTCCAGATGGGGCTATCAACAATCTTCCAAACTATGTTGGTCAGAAACCATTTTGCTAAATCTCTATGTGCTGATGGTTTGGTCCATACAGCAGATAATTTAATAGCCTCCCAGTGAGTTGCCCAACTTTAGCAATCTTATTCTGTAAAGTCGCAATATCCACATAATTTAATGCATCTATCTCTGTCCCTGCTCCATCTACAATGGTACATAAGAACATAAGAAGATAAGAGCTAGGAGCAGGAGTAGGCCGTCCGGCCCTTCGAGCCTGCTCCGCCATTCAATAAGATCATGGCTGATCTTTTCGTGGACTCAGATCCACTTACCTGCGTTCTTACCGTATCCCTTAATTCCTTTATTGTTCAAAAAAAATCTACCTTATCTTTAAAAACGTTTACTGAAGTAGCATCAACTACTCCACTGGGCAAGGAATTCCATAGATTAACAACCCTCTGGGTGAAGAAGTTCCTTCTCAGTTCAGTTCTAAATCTGCTCCCTCTAATCTTGAGGCTATGCCCTCTTGTCCTAGCTTCACCTGCCAGTGGAAACATCCTCTCTACTTCTATCTTATCTATTCCCTTCATAATTTTATATGTTTCTATAAGATCCCCCCTCAATCTTCTGAATTCCAATGAATATAATCCCAATCTACTCAGTCTCTCCTCATAAGCCAACCCCCTCAACTCCGGAATCAACCTAGTGAACCTCCTTTGCACCCCCTCCAGTGCCAATACATCCTTTCTCAAGTAAGGAGACCAAAACTGCACACAGTACTCCAGGTGTGGCCTCACCAGCAGCTTGTACAGCTGCAACATAACCTCTCTGCTTTTAATCTCAATCCCTTTAGCAATGAAGGACAAAATTCTATTTGCCTTCCTAATTACTTGTACCTGCAAACCTACCTTCTGTGATTCATGCACAAGGACACCCAGGTCCCTCTGCATAGCAGCATGCTGCAACTTTTTACCATTCAAGTAATAATCCTTTTTACTATTACTCCTACCAAAATGTATGACTTCACATTTATTTACATTGTATTCCATCTGCCAGACCTTTGCCCACTCACTCAATGTATCTATATTCCTCTGCAAAGTTTCACAGTCCTCTGCACACTTTGCTCTGCCACTCATCTTAGTGTCATCTGCAAACTTTGACACCCTACACGTGGTCCCCAACTCCAAATCATCTATATAAATTGTAAATAATTGCGGTCCCAACACCGATCCGAGGCACACCGCTAGTCACTGACTGCCAGCTAGAATATCACTCTTTAATCCCCACTCTTTGCTTCCTGTTAGTCAACCAATCCTCTATCCATGCTAATACTTTACCCTTAATGCCATGCATCCTTATCTTATGCCATAGCCTCTTGTGTGGCACCTTGTCGAAGACCTTTTGGAAATCTAGGTACACCACATTCACTGGGTCCCCATTGTCCACCTTGCTCGTAATCTTTTCATAGAATTCCAAAAGATTTGTCAAGCATGACCTGCCCTTCATGAACCCATGCTGCATCTGCCCAATGGGACAATTTCTATCAAGATGCCTTGCTATTTCTTCCTTGATAATAGACTCAAGCATCTTCCCCACTACAGAGGTTAAGCTAACTGGTCTATAATTCCCCATCTTTTGTCTACTTCCCTTTTTAAACAGTGGCATCACATTTGCTGTTTTCCAATCTGCTGGGACTGCCCAGAGTTCAGCGAATTTTGGAAAATTACCACCAGTGCACCTGCTATTTCTCCCGCCATCTCTTTTAGTACCCTGGGATGCATTCCATCAGGGCCAGGAGACTTATCAATCCTTAGCTCCATTAGCTTGCCCAACACTACCTCTTCCATAATAATGACTGTTTCTAGGTCCTCACCTACCTTCGTCTCTTGGCATGTTAT